GAAAAGAGCCAGTGGTGGTCAAACCAAAACATGGCTTCATCAGTCAATGAGATCCACAACAGTGAGTTTAAGCCAGTCACATAGGGAAGTGCAAACTTCCTGGTTGGGATCCTCGGGACGATAAATACCAATGACATCTGGAGACAATAGGTGATATGGCTAAAAATCGTCCTCAATAGCTGGCGCAGATGCATCCACTCCTTGTGACTTATAACATCCAATAAAACTATATGGTTCTTCGATATTACCATAATTTTTGCCCCATACCTCTGTTTACTGTCTCTATTTTGCATTTCTTTTTACTTTCTTCCCCTGCTTTATGTGCTACATAGAGTGTGGCAACTCGAACTGCTGCACATCAGTGCAAAGTTCTATGTTGAAACCAGTCAGTCAATCAACACCTACGAATTTAATGATCTTGAATTCCGCAACCATTTTCACTCTTCCCTCCCTCCTTCAAAAATTAATTATCTTATTGACTAAGATCTACTAGTTAATTGTTTTGATGACTCTCAATCTCTTATTTTCGCCCCACCCGACCCCACCCCCCAAAACCTAAAACTTACAATTCTTATGGACTAAAAATAACCACCCACATGACTGATATAATTTTGATGTGACAGAAAACTGTATATTAGTGCAGAGCTAATGGGGAGGAAGAGGAACTGCTAATTGAAAAGGAATGCATATTTCTGTGCTCAGTTTGTTGGGTTTTTTTTCTTAAAATCAGATTTCAGTGCACAAACACTACTAAGGTGTTGCAAGCCGTGCATCAGTTCACGATAAAATTCCATTTTGTAGATAGTAGTATTCAGAAAGATTTGTATTTCAGAAATAAGTCCACTAAATTCAGTATGTGAGGAAAGACATTCATCGATGGCGGTACACTGAGTCGAGAATTTATACACACACACACAGACGCACAGATAGTCACAGGCGTTGAAAACTAACAGACCTGGGACGAACCTCCCGCAGATTAGTCAGTGTGTCTGTAATTCTGAATAATTCCCCCCGACTTTCCAAGGTGAAATAGGCTCACAAGGATTTTTTTAAAATTCCTTCACATTCCCAGTGGAACATAGGGCTTCAAGCTAGAGGCTTGAAGTTTCTGTAGCAGTGGTATTTATTTTTACAGAATGAGGTTCCTAGCCTCATACCCAACCTTTCCTCTTTACCAGCTTTATTTCTGGCTTAGCGAGGTAAGGGAGTGCGTCGGCGATCAGCCGGCGATCGATCCTCGGACCATGTGCATGGTCGGCGAGCATCCTAACCACTGTGCCACCGACGCACGGTTCACAAGGATGCTGACGATTAAATCTTCACAATCAAACCCAATATTACTGCTAAATACTTGTTTTGGAAATCACAGACTGTGATGATGAGAATTTAATGATCCTTTTTTCAAGAAGAAATCAAAAGAGACAGACATATTGTCCAAGATAAGATCTCGTAATACAGCACTGATAACAGTTCAATCTGAAACACCTCATATTTGCATTATCCCTGTAAAAAGTAACAAGTCGTTTCCTGGATAGTTTAAGGTTAGCATTGTTAAAGCATATCAATCCTAACGAATGATTATTGATTCACATGACACGTCAATTTCTGTTACAAACATTTGAGAGCTAAGAAGCACTTTATCCATTCCTTTGCATTCTCAATGGAACATAGGGCGGCTTCAAGGTAGAGCTTTGAAGTTTCAGTAGCGTTGGTTCTATTTTTACTGAGTGGGTTTGTCAGCCCTACGTTCAACCTTCCCTCTTTACTGGGTTAAATACTGGATAAGCTAGGTAAAAAAAGTTCGTCGACGGGGGGTTGGGTCCCGGATCACGTGTGGCGTGGTTGACCAGTAAGTGTTGCACCGCAGAACCACCAACGCTCCGAGATTATAAATATCAGTTAATGATGCCAATACATAATGGTCTATTAAAAGTTAAAGATAAATGCTCCAATCTGGGTTATCGCTGGCTTTATCATGTGCTGACACAGCACTGAACTTTCGGACAATAAGAGTCACAGGTCCGAATCCAGCCCCACAACCTACTGCAGCCTTGGAAACCAAACAGCATCACCAATGCCACACACATACACACACCTACATACAATAAATATCCCTTGAACCTAGGCAAAAAAGAAAAGTGTTCTGGATATCTGTGTCCTAACATACAACCAATATTATCAAGTGTCGGTTTGCAGGGATTTGACTGGCTACAGGCTTGATCACAAGTTAACATTAGTTGTAACCAACGGGGTTCGCCAAGTGAGATAAAAGAATAGTCACTCGCATATGATACTGGCCGGTGGCTCAGCTATATATAGCGCAAACTTGCAGAGGTTGGAATTTATGACCTGATCATTGAGGAGTCGGATTTCAGTTGGGTGAATTTTTCACGTGCCCGGCTTGTAACTGGAAGCCCCTGGTGGGTGGGTACCGATGAACAGCCTCAGGGTACTAGGGCGAAACAGCTGTCCAATACTCCCATGTTTTCCAGTGGTTCTATAACTAGTATCATCATGATGTTTGTCTAACCGTCGGAGGTTGAATTTGCAAGACTGCAGTGCATACGGTTCTCTGCCCTTCCCGTATCAAAAATCATGCCCTTTTAGTATTAAAGATGCCTGATGACTATAGACGTTTATTATTAGTCATCACTGTTTCAATGAGACTGTTTGCCGTGTAAATATTTCTGAAAGTCAGAGGCTATAGACAACTTTCAACATCATTTCATTTTGATTTCCCCGTTGATTATACTGTAGACGCTTCAACGATGTCTGAGGATTAACTTTTTTAAGTAAGCTGGTGGAATCTAGGGTATGCATTTCGTCCTATCCGAGGGACTCATCAGCTAGCGAATGCATCTGCATTTCCCAGTGAGTAGTGGTGTTCCCCCTCCCATCATAGAGACTTGAACCCAGCACCCATCGTTTCAAACCAGTCTCAAATAGAATGGAATGTGCATTCTGGATTCCACTGTTAGTTCACCATCCACCGCCAAACTTTCAACATCAGTCATTCGGGTAATCGACAAAATGTTATGGACCACTCAAAGGTTTATTAATTGGCACAATTTTATAGCATAAATTGTCCCTGGTGAACTAACTCTGTAACCTGAGCTTTGTGAAAACAAACAAAGTCACAAATAATACTGCAGTTTGAGCAGTGTGAAATATGTAACCTCCTGGAATTCAATCCAAAAAACACACGAATAAAGTATATTCAAAATCATGTAATACAGATCTCCTATGAATAGGTGTCACCAAGGTAAGGTGGTAAACAATGCTATTTATTATCTAAGCCCTCAATACTACAATCACCGAGGTAAATGTCAAAAAACACTACTAACTGACAGTCCACTCATCCAGTTCCTTTGTATTCCGAGTCGAAGACAAGATGTGAAACTAAAGCTTTGAAGTTTCACTGGGAGTGGTGTTTCTTCTCATGGGGTGGAGTTGTTAACCTCATGCCCAATCTAGTGAAGTATAAGGGTGCATCGACCGGGGGTCGAACCACAAGTGGTATAGTGGATAATGTACAGATGCATATATACATACAAATTATGATGAAAACAAAGCCTCAGAAGTTTACATAATCTGTGTCATGAAAAGGAAATGCGCATTCCTCTTATTCATTGATTATTGGACTCAATTTCAAGGTATACGAAAGAATAAGAATACACATCAGCATTACAACATTCACACACACACAATCATTACTCATCACAAATCAAAACATTCTATATATCACCCATCACTCTGTCAAAAGACAAGAGAAACGCGACAAAAAAGAACGAAACAGCACATACACACGCACGCACACACATACAGACAGACAGACATGAGAAGAATACAAACTAACTACAACTGAATAGTAACAAACTAACAAACTAAGTAACTAACTAGCTAGCTAACTAATAATTCTCAAACTATGATGAAAAGAGTGGAAGAACAAAACAAAAGACAAGATTTGAAATAAAATAAAATATTTCTTTGTTGATCATTCTGAAAAGTGCTTGTTTTACACACACACACACACATACACACACATAACATCTTCTCATTCGCCTGCTCCTCCTCCACCTCCTCGGCGTCTTCATTGTCGACCTCGTCGCCTGCTTTCTCCTCAAGACAGTTATTTGTTTGATTAGTTTGCTAATGAGTTAGTGAGTGAGTGAATGAGTGAGTTAGTGAGCGAGTTGGTTAGTTCTTTACACACTCCTCTCTCTCTCTCTCTCATAAAATCAATCAATATTTATAACAAACATTTTACTTCAGAATATATGATCATATCATTAATAGTAATAATAATAATTGTAATAGTGAAATAGATATTCGTTTACAAAAACAGAGAATATGAAAAAGTATAAAAACAAAAGAAGGCGATTGACATTGTTGACAAGTTTCAAGTGAGAAGAAAACGAACCGTCCCGTCTCTCTCCCTCTCTCACCATTCGTCAGTCAAATGAAATCAGTGTGTTTGTGTGTATGTGCGTTTGTGTGTGAGTAGTGTGTTGTGAAGGATGAAAAACCCACACAAAAGAAGACAGAAAAATGTGAAGAATTTAGTCATTCAGTTAGTCAGTTAGTTATCTGGATCACAGGCAAAAATTTTCTTTCAAATTCATAAAAATCAAAACAACAAGAGCAACAAATAAAATTCGAGGGGTGGAGGGGGCTGGCCGTCAGAAGCAAGAGAAACGGGGAGTAAAAACAACACGGCAGCATTCAAGAGATGCCAGTCAGGCAAGTTTTCCAGGATTGTTCACCTCTTGTAGGTGGAAGAGGAATTACGAATGGCAAAAGGCACTTGTACGATGCAACTGTCTGCGTGAGTGCGTGCGTAAGTCTGTCAGCTCAAAAACCGCAGGAGAACAAGAGATTACTCAAAATAAACACGAACTGTGACACACACGCAAACATACACAAAATAGAATCAAATAAAGGTTAATTAAGGTATTTGATAGTGTAAAACAAGAAGAAATAATTCATATTATATGTATATGACACCGCATTGCGATTGTTTTGCGTCAACACGCTGCGCCCCGCCCCGCCCCGCCGCACCCACGTGATCCACCCAGTATTTGGGGTAATTGGTATAGTATAGTAAATTATAAAATCGATAATATAGGAATTGATTTCTCATTTTACTTAATAGTGAATTGTGTTCATCTAACAAGGGAGTTAGTTAGTTTGGTTGGTTGGTTGGTTGGTTGGTTAGTTAGTTAGTAATTTCTTGGCGCTGAAGGAGCTACTCGATGCGGTACTGTGGAAAAATATAAAAAATTAATAATAATAATAATGAAGACGATTAAATGATGAATACAGAGGGGACACAAATAAAATTCATGTTGAAAGACAATTTAAAAATTATCTATTCAGTGTATCACTGGCAAAAGTGATCAACACGGACCAATCACAATTAATGGGAGAAATTTGAAGGAAATTAATTCGCTTACTTCCACGGCTAGGGTCGGCGACCATACCACGTTGAAAGCACCGGTTCTCGTTCAATCACCCAAGTTAAGCAACGTTTGGCCCAGTTAGTGCTTGCATGGGTGACCGGCTGGGAATACCGGGTGTTTTTGGGTGCGTCGGTGACACAGTGGTTAAGACGCTTGCCAACCATGCACATGGTCCGGGGTTCAGTCCCCGACCGACGCACTCCTTTACCTCGCCAAACCAGTAATAAAAAGCCGGTAAAGAGGAAAGGTTGGGGATGAGGCTAGCAACCTCATCCTGTAAAAGTAAAACACTGCTACAGAAACTCCAAGCCTCTAGCTTGAAGCCCTATGTTCCACTGGGAACGTGAAGGAAGAAAAACACGGCTAGGTGACAATGTTTCACCTATATGCTGTACAGTCTTTCTTGGAATACTCAAGAAGGACTATGTCATATTGCAAAGGGTATTAAAGGCTGTCAGTAGGGCAAATAGTTTGCCACTAAGCCAGTTCGTTATTATTGTGGTCGACAGGCATCTGAACTCATTCAGGAAATGGTCTAAATCCATATTGTCTGACTATCCACACCCTCTCTATTCACACAACTCTCCACTTACTTGTATCTCATCAGGTAGGATTAGAAGTCATTATAAAAGATTATATGATCTCACAGCCAAGTACAAAAACTTAACGATATTCTATTTGGCTGGCATTCTATGTGAAAGAGGTAGTGTTAAGCATGAAATTTACAACTTACTATGTTAATTAACAAAATAAATGACTCCTTGAACTTCACATATTTGTAATCTACGGGTGACACCATTTCAGCAATCGTATAATTTTAGTTATTAAAATTATTTATTATCATTTTACACTTTGAGTGTAAGGAATGCTGGAGCTTAAGGAATAACATCCGGATCTTCATATCGGTGTTTCTGTATGGTTTAAAGACTACACACACGTCAAGTCTGTCTGGATTCAACATAAAACTTGGCACCGAAGTGCAGCAGTTCGAGTCGCCACGTTCCAAATAGCACACAAAAGTAGACAAGACAAGAAGATGAGTGAAGAGAATCAATAGAGTTTTGACAAGTATAAGAGTGACACAGAATGAGTACTGGTAGAAAAGAATATGAAAGATTACAGGGACTGAATACATCTGCGCCATTGAAAACGATTTTGAGCCATGTCACCTATTGTCTCTAGCCATTGATTCTTAGAGTCCCGAGGGCCCCATCCCGGAAGTTTGCATCTCCCTACCTGACTCAGTTTAACTGTCTGCGATTTCATGGATTGATGCCAAGTTTTTGTTTGGCCACCACTTACTCTTTTCCAACCTGCACCTATATCAGCTAGTAATGCCCGTCGAGGGAGGCGATGGTTAGGCATGCGCAGCACGTGACTTAGCCATCTCAATCTATGTAACTTTATAGCCTCTTCGATTGATTTTCCCTCTTTGCCCAACACTCTACGCCTAACGTCAACATTACTTACCTTATTATACCACCTAACGTTAGAAAGAGATCGTAGACATCTATGATCAAAAACAGTCAACCTTTTCATGTCTTCAACTCGTATTGGCCATGTTTCAGAGGCATAGAGAAGGACGGAGCGAACTGATGAGCAGTACATACGTCCCTTGGTTGATAGCCGGATGTCACGCCTACGCCAGAGACGGTGTAAATTAGCGAGAGCAGCCCGTGCTTTTTGGATCCGTGCTGAGATTTCGTCACCAATCAATCCGTTGGTGCTGATACAACTTCCCAAATAGGTGAAGTGGTCAACATGTTCTATCACTTCACTCCCTATCACTAAGCTAGGAGTACACACACGTCAAGAGAAACATTTCCAACAGGCTGCACATTTTTATCAACATCTGCCTTATCTCAATAATAAAAATCAGACTGCTAATTGGATAGATGGCCGGAAAGAATCACCAACAACAAGAAACTATGGGGACAAACGAAACAAGAACCAATCGCTCAACAAATATGCAGGAGAAAGTGGAGATGGAATGGACACTCACTGAGGAGGCCGTTGGGTGACAACGCGCGTCGGGCCAGTGCTCGAGTGGAACCCGAAAGGGAAGCGGCGAGTGGGACATCCAAGGGTGACATGGAGGAGATCGTGTGAAGAAGAGTTGAAATAGCATGGACTAACATGGATGGAGGTGAAAAGTACAGCAGAAGACAGAAGCAAGTGGAGGCGTGCAGTTGAAGCCCTATGTTACACTAGGAACCCAAGGGAACAATAATAATAAAAATAGTGTTGATCTTAACTATGTATGATTAGTTGTCTTTTCTTATGATTATTGTATTCAACTACAGTCATAGTGTGGCGACAGCTGGCTGCTAGCCAAAAATTGGTAGACAGTAATTTACGTCAATGTTTACGTCTCCAAAATTGGTCGTGAGAAAAATAAAAACAAAGACTGACTCAACAACCAATCACAGCACACTGCGTAGGCGGACACAATTTGCAGATAGATGATCTGAACTTCAAGAAACGGTCACAAAGAGATGAAAGATTAACGTTCAGTGAGAAACCACCAATCAAAAGACTGTGTTTATTTGCTTACAATAATCTATAATAAAGTACATGAAAAGCTATAAATATCTGTTGATTTCCTAAATAAACGATCTATTGCCTGGCCCTGGTCTTTTGTTGTTACAATAGGATCGATCGTCTCTCTCGTTGACTGACCTGATATTTGAGCTTTCAAATGTGTGATTTATGTTGGATTGATTGAAAAAATCATTTTACCTATGTCAACGTACCTGTTAATTCCAAGTGTATAGCACCTAAACGCAGTAACTATGATGAGTATTAGAAAATTTCTAGAAGTCATGAGACTCAGTTCAGATTATAATTAACAACAGATACATTTTTAGCGTGTGCTACGGAGAAGATTTATAAGGTGTATTTAGATACAGATTAACAGGAAGCGGCCAAAATTGGAATCAACATTCCGAGTCATTGGCTGCTGCAGAGGTACAAGTTTTTATTCCTCAAATCATTGAAACCATTGAAAACCAACAGGGTGTATTGGACAGCTGTTTCATCCTAGTTAGGGATTCTTCAACGGTATGCACCCACTGCAAGGGTTCACACCCAGGACCTCACAAGACAATCTCATAGACCATTCAGCCATTGCGATTTGACTTCTCAATGACCAGCCCATGAATTCTACCTGCCAATTTGTGATTTTTGCTCAAATGGCACCAGCCAATGTCATCGGCGGTGAGTATTTGTGCTCACTCTTCACTCGTGATTTTCGTGCTAAAATCACTTATTGGTAGAAGTTAAAATTCATGGGCTGGCAATTGAGAAGTCAAGTCACAATGGCTGAATGGTATACGAGTCAGCTTGCCTTGCAACCGGAAGGTCCTGAGTTCGAACCCTGGCGTACCGTTGAAGAATCCCAAACTAGGATGAAACAACGGTTCAGTAGTCCTTGGTTTTCAATGGTTCTCTAACCGATATCAATCCGTGGTCCAACATAAAGTAATCTTATTGGACAACTTTTCGTTTCATAGGACTAATCGCCAACCAATCAGAACAGTCTATTGTCCTCTGACCTTGCCGACTTTTAATGTGGTTAAAAATGTATAAATATGGTGTTGTCCTTCCTTCATAAAAAAGTTCGTTACCGATTCTCTTATTTTCTGTCGTTACACATTGATATGCATAAAATTTATTAATAAATCAATCAAACATAAATCACGTATTCGAAAGGTCAGAAACAGGTCAACAAGACATGATCAATACCAATCAGTATGCGGGTGAATAGAACAACCATAATACAATCTACACATACACGCACAACTGCTCACAGTCAAAAACATCAAGAATGACGATTATTTCATCATTCACTGGGAATTCTTAAAGCTCAATTCATTTCGAAGTTAGATCTGATGATATATACTGTCTAAAAGAAAGACAATGAACGCTTTACAATTAAACCATCCAAGTAAGAAGTCATTGAATCGGGTCTCAGGGGCTAAATTGTGTACTAGCTCACCTTGTAATCGGAGGGTCCTAGATTTGAACCCTAGTTGATGAGCATTGCTGAAAAATCCCAAACTAGAATGAAACAGCTGTCTAGTACTGGCAGGATTTCAAATTTTTCTCCAACTGATGCTATCTCATGATCAAACCTGTCACCCATCAAATCTCTGTAAACCAACTCTTCAAAACTAGTGTGACACTCACTAATGACTGGCTCACTACAGGAAGTAACCTCAATTTCTGGTGAGAAATCACAACCGCTGGGGTCTACCATGCCACGTTGGAGAACAGTCACTCGCTCACGACAATGGTTGGCGGTTGCGCAAGATATATGGCGAATTGCCAGAAGTTTGAATTCATGGGTGACTGGGTCGTATCCCAGTGGCAGAACGGTTTACCAGCTCGCCTCGCACCTGGTAGCTCTTGAGTTAGAACCCTGGTAGATGTGCATTGCTGAAGAGTCTCAAACTAGGACGAAATAACTGTACAGTACTCCCTGATGGTTTTCCAATGGTTCTGTAACCAGTTCTTTGACCAATCAAATCCCTGTATAAACCAATACTTGACATATTGGAATACATCAAGAATGAAATCCAATAGGGAAATTTGAAGTGATGAATAGGGAACCCAGATTAATAGAAACCTGATAATTTGCTTACCAACTCAATTGGTGACAAGCAATTAGTAAATTCTCTTTTTTGCAAAGATCACAATTTATGATTCAGTAACGGAAAACTGTACATTGGGTAAACATTACTATTACTATTATTATTGCTATTTCTTTGGGCTCCCAGCAGATTAGATGTTTTTTATTTCCCTACCTTTGGTTGTTATATATGGACTGTGACAATTTGAACTAATGCACTTTCTGTACAAAATTCAACACTGCAACTTAGTCAGTGACACCCTTATTCATTTGACACCTATCAAATATTTTGAAAAATAGATATCTTTAAGCAAGCATATAGGCATTTACGGAGAATCTTAGTCCGGCTTCCTACAACTATATAATAAAATATCAGTCATAGAAATTTGGGCAAAGTCAAACTTTCGACACCGATAACAACCAATCAGCATACGACCTTGAACGGACCAATCACATGAAAGAGGCGTTTATGATAAGTGGAAGCGTATATTTATTAAAAAAATGCATTAAAAAAAAAGGATAAAACGGTTACAATGGGTATCTTTCCCGAACATGGGACAGGAACATCTCCCAATTCAGCATGGAACTGTCAATAGAGAAATCGCACCACATTCTGTACATATATTCGTCTAAATGACTATAAATCAGATCCTTTTGCGATCTATTTGTAGCCCTGATCCTATTTTTCAACCTACTCCAAAATCCTTCAATGGAATTTGTATGAGTCCCTGTGACAGGATCTACGAAATCATTTGAGTGGTTCACTCTGTGATGAATGTAATCCAGGGATGACAAGGAATCATAACCTTCCCACTCGTCGGTATGCACAATTGATCCCCTTTTGACAAGTCGAGTTATAATAGGTATCAGAGTGCTCGCCTTCCTGTCTCCTATTCTTTCAACAAATCCTTTTCGGAGGGAAGTGTCGTGGAAACCTATTACTCAAATGTTGTTTGCTGTCTGACGATCACGGTTATATTTCTTCTTCACCAACACTGTCTCATCCACATGCACTACTACGTCCTCCCCGCCTAACAGCGAAGTAATTCTCTCCACTTTCCATGAGGCGATGACTCTACAGTGCTGATACCATTGAACTGTTGAGACAAGGCTATTCTCCGTCTCCACAGCTGCTGCTCTCACTGGCTGCTTCAGTACCCAATAGTTGCAGATACACAAAATCTGGGTTAGAGAGAGATGCGACCTAGCAAAAAAAGTTCCTACGAAATATTAAAATTAGCAGCTTACCCTCTCTAATACTAACTCGTTTCCAACATATTCCACAACGATGGACAAATCCATCAGTTGACCTCGAATAGCTTTTCAGAGTCATTACACCACCACAGGAACACCTTCTCTCCTTTCTTAACAAGCCTAAGTCTAGGCGATACTGAAAGACACTATCCTCCTCGAACTGCAAACGTAACCTTGTAAGGGCACGCATTGTAAATGAGTCAAGCGCTATACAACATTGAACTACGTTCGTGAATCTCATTGGATAATTCGACGTCATTCGCTGATTGGTAGTTATTGGTGTCTAAAGTTTAACTTGGCCGAAATTTGTAACCAATGTCCTGAGGACCCCAATGTGAGTAGATTTATAATAATGATAATGATAAATAGTGCAACTAAGCTTAAATTATACAACTATAGCACAGTGTGATAATGATAGTGAAGTTAGCAGTATAAATAAAAATCAAAGTAATATTTACAGTTATCCGGTGTCACTGAGGTAACTAATCTGTAACGACAGAAGGCAAGAGTCAGGTAACAGATGATTTATTAAGGAAATCAACACATATTTAGATATTTTCATGTACTTTATTATAGACTATTGTAAACAAACAAACACAGTCTTCTGATTGGTGTGGTGGTTTCTTGCTGAACGTTAATCCTTCATCTCTTTGTGACCGTTTCTTGAATTTCAGATTATCTATGTGCAAATTGTATCCGCCGACGCAAAGTCTTCTGTGATCGGTTGTTGAGTCAGTCTTTGTTTTTATTTTTCTCACAACCAATATTGGGGACGTAGACATTGACGTAAATTACTGTCTACCAATTTTGGCTAGCAGCCAGCTCTCTCAACAAATCTAGGTCAGCGTTGAAGGCCATGGGAAGGAGAGGGGTGAAACAAATGCTTTTCTGAACACAAAGATTAGGCTGAAAGTATTTTACTGCAACTGCCTTAACTATGCTTAGTAATCGAAGGCGTACAAACTTAGGGAATCATATCCACAAGGTGTGCCAATATGGAACCCCTCCTTTACCTAACCATGTTGGACAGTGCTCAAGACGACGACAGTGGGCTTTCCGAGTCATGTGATAGGTCGTGACCAGTGAGGTCCATTCAGATGTGACGTGTGAGGATGGATGTCCCATCGACGAGACTGGTTGGTGTCCCGCTTAATCACAAATTGGTAGTAGTTAGAATTCATGGACTGGCCATTGAATCGGCTCCCAGTGGCTGAATGGCATACGAGCTTGCCTTGTAACCAGAAGGTCCTGGGTTCGAACCTTGGCAGTGGGTGCGTGCCGTAGAAAAATCCCAAACTAGGATGAAACAGCTGTCCAGTACTCCAGTGCTGGTTTTCAATGGTTCTCTAACTGATATCAATCCGTGATCAACTCATAAAAACATATTATTTAAATAGACGTTTTAAAATTCTTGGCTGTATAGATAAAAATGTATTATGATTCACACCTCAAGGAAGATATAAATATATAAGACTTCTTACCTTGAGTACGATGTCCATCATGATTATTATTATTAATATTATGATTTATGCTTGCAGTACTTCGATATGTTTTAGGCCCATGATAAGCTTTAGGCACAGGAATATTTCCAATATCAAGAAATGTGAAACGAGCTTCAAATTGACGTACAAGACTGGCTATATTGTTGTTATTATTATTATGATTATTGCCATTATTGTTTAAAAATTCATTTCCAACAGGCGGTGGCGGCGGCGGTGGTGTCGGATGAGCACGTGAATTCATCATCGTTGTTGTCGTCGGCGCTGGTGGCACATTCAAATCATATACACAGGATGGTAATAATGGATTTGTTGACGTCATTGTCTCTCCATTGTAATTCCCGTTCAAACTGCTACCACCAGATGATGAGATACGTATTACTTTAGTCGACTGGCCAACAGGTATCCCATTCATATCGGTATTGGTTGAACCAACTCGCTTTATAAACGCAGATGGGATGATAAGAGAAGAGAAAAAAAAGGAGGAAACTTCAATAAAGATTTATCGAATAAGAGTTATTTGAATATGGGATGAGCAAAAAAAGGGCACACTTTGATTACATATCACCAGATGAAGTATAAGACAAACGTACACACACACACACCATTAAAAGTGCCAACCAAATTTGTGTTACACAGTGTGAAAAGTATTTCAACACAATAAAACAAAACAAACACGGCGTAAATGTGAACTGGATCAACGGGGAATTAAAAGTAAACGCAAGGTGTTTTTTGCACATACTAATAGCGAACAGCTGAAGAGGCAGCCACAGAAGACAGGACTCCAGGTGAACAGAGAGAAGACGGAGGTGATTCAAATAATCAACCAACCAACCAACAGCAAAAATAACAACCAGCACCAATCACCATCAACGAGAGAAATTTGACAGAGGTTACCTCCTTCACTTATGTAGGAAGCATTGTTTCAACTACAAGCACTCGGAACGGATGAAGATATCAGAGCAAGCCAGAGAGGATCGGAATGGCAAGATACGCCTTCATCAACCTGAAACCAGTTCGGAAATCTTCTGCTTCACTAAGCCAGTCAGCATAAACAACAAGATTTAGATTTTCAACACAAATGTGGAGTCGGTCACTGCTTCTATATGGGTCAGAAACTTGCAATGTGTGTCACGGAAACGATTTCCAACAGGTTGCAGACTTTTATCAACAGCCGCCGACTTCGCTGGCTTCATACTGAAGATCAAATAGCCGGTCAGAAAGAATTAGCAACAAGAAACTCCGGCTGCGAACAAACCAAGAGCAAATCGCTTGACAAATAAATAGGAGAAAATGCAGATGTACTGGGCATACGTTGAGAAGGCCGTCGAGTGACATCGCGTGCCAGGCCATCGCTCGAGTGAAATCTTATTGGGCAGCGACTAGTGGGTCTTCAGTGCGATGGTGATATGGAAGAGATCGTGCGAAGAGGAGATGAGAGATTATGAACAACCATGGACCCAAATGAACAGGACGGCAGAAAATAGAAAAAAGTGGATATGTTCCACCCACAACCCAAGGGAATATTAATAATATAGTAGCAAACAGCACAACAGCCATCCCAGTGGCATAAAGCGCTAGTACCAAACCGCCGTCAAAATCAAACAGCTAAATGTAGCATGTGAAGTGTTTACAGTATTCATTTCAACATGCAGGACCAGTGGGGTTCACCACCAGGTCAGGAGTGACGGCAAATACTCGCCACGGATGACATTGGATGGTGTTGTAACAATAGAAGACAAGGGCCAGGCAACAGATCGTTTATTAAGGAAATCAACACATATTTAGATATTTTTATGTACATTATTATAGATTATTGTTAGAGAACAAACACAGTCGTCTGATTGGTTGTTTCTCATTGAAAGTTAATCTTTCATCTCTTTGTGGCTGTTTTTTGAATGTCAGATCATCTGTATGCTAACTGTATCCGCCTACGCAAAGTCTTTGTTCATATTTTTCTCGCGACCAATATTGGGGACATAAACATTGACGTAAATTACTGTCTACCAACTTTGGCTAGCAGCCAGCTCTCACGCTAAAATCACGAATTAGTAGAAGTTAGAATTCATGGGCTGGATATTGAGTAGAGTTCCAGTGGCTGAATGGTCTAAGGGGCTTGATTTTTAACCGGAAGGTTCTGGGTTCGAAACCCGGTGGGTGCGTACTGACGATGAGTTTCAAACTAATGGGGTGAAACAGCTGTCCAGTACTCCGGTGCTGGTTTTCAATGGTTCTCTAACTGATATCAATCTGTGGTCAGACTTTAAACAAATCAAACCCCCCTACAAACTAGCCCTTGAAAATCACACAAGTCGATGCACAACACCAACTACTTGACCACCTCTGTTCTATTCGGATTTCGGTTCATCCCAACCCATGTCAGTGTCAAAAGGACTGGTGAAGTTCTTCAGTAATAGGACAGAAAAAAACTACATAGTGTCTAGGAAAATCTAAGTCAGGAAACTTACTAATTGTGCCGATAAATTAATCAAAAAACATGTAGAAAATTGTAGAAGTAGAGTCGATGGTAATAATAAGAACCACATGCATAACAAACATAGACAGAAAGATGTGAAAACAACAATAGGGATTTTTAATCAGTAATGCTTCTATACAAAGAGGGAACCTCTGAAACCATACGTAGGATTCCTACTAAGGCAAGAATAAAATTAGCATTCAAGCCCGCATACTCTCCTAGAGACTGACTATGTCGGTTAAAGGATCCTGTGGAGCCCATTAGACAAAACAAGTTAGTTTATCTAATACCCTGTGCAATGATGGTCATGTCAAACTCATAGGTCAAAGTTTGAAGTTCGATCACCAGCTGACATCGGTTAGCCAAAACATTAGAGACCAGAAAGAAGTACTGGACAGCTGTTTCGTCCTAGTTTAGGGCTCTTCAGCAGTACTCAACCCCCCCTCCCGCAGGGTTCGCAACCCAGGACCTGCTGATTACAATTAATGCTAATACACCATTCACTCAATGGCACCCAGCTTCAATGACCCACAAGTTGCAGCCTATACCAGTTCGTGAGAAGTTGTGACCAGTGGGTCCACTATGTCAGGCGTGAGGACAAACACTCGCCAATGACATTGGCTAGTGGTCGAGCTGCCGAAGGGTCCCGATCTAGGACGAAACAGTTTCCAATGATTCTCTAACTTTTCAATTATATCCTCATCTCTGGCTTTACTCTAATATATTCAGCATTTTTATTACAATACACAACATTTTGCCAATCAAGTGACACTGATATGTTTGTTAACAATAATTAGTCAGTGTCAACATGTCAATGGGGTGATAATTAACGAATAAAATTAAAACACACAGTCAGAGAGGTAGAAATGGTTACAACAACACGTGGATTGCATAATGTATAATTTTGGAAAATTGAAAAGTAAGTAAGGAATAAGCGTGTGCACAGGTTGATTACGTGACAGATTGCTATAGAAAATAAAACGATTTGGACAATGATAACTTGTAACTAAGGATGAAGTGGTCATAAGAATAAAATAATTTTACAGGGATAACACGTAATTTAAGAGAAGTAGTCGGAAAAAATAGAATAATATGGGCAATGATAATTTTTAAAGGTTTAGAGGGAGGGGGCGAAGTAATCCGGTTTATACATTCATGTAACGATGGCCAAGGTAAGGAAAGTGGCTGTACAAACTTCTTCTGAACACACATAGGTTTGACCTTATTAATTACGGAACCTGATAAAGGCTCTGGAATAGTAATAATGAATAAAACAGAATACATAGATAAGATGAATGAAATACTCAGTGATCATGGAAAATTTCAAAAAATCACATCTTCCGTTGATCCGACAGAAAAAGTGGAGAAACAACTAATAGAGTCATTAAAAAGACTTAAACAACAAAGTAGCATCATAGAAGGTTTATATGAATCCCTAAAGCCTACTGGCACGGTTACACCAAGATGATATGGACTACCAAAAGTGCATAAAATTGGTTTGCCACTTCGACCAGTGTTGGACATGTGTAATTCCCCATATCACGCAACAGCAAAATGGTTAGTGAAGATGTACAATGAATGTTCATTTCTTATTCAATATTGAATATTACAGACAAACTGATGGTGTAGCTATGGGTTCCCGATTAGGTCCAATCCTAGCTGATTTTTTCCTCGCTAAGTTAGACAATGGACCACTGAAAGGAGTAGTTAATGACTTGGATTTCTACTGTCGATATATGGATGATACATTTCTGGTTATGAAAAACGAGAATGATGCAATCAACATCCTTGACAAGTTTAATGACGTCCATTTAGCAATAAACTTTACCATAGAGAAAGAAAGTAATCACTATATCTGATTCCTAGACGTCTTCATGACGAGGAAAGAAGATGGAACACTAAGAAGGAGTGTGTATAGGAAACCTACAACAACAGTTCAGTACACTCATTTTTTGAGTTTTGTACCTTTGAAATATAAACGTAACCTGGTAAAGTGTCTGGTTGATATAGCTAGGTTAATCTCTTCAGACGACTACCTCAATGAGGAGCTTAGGATTATTAGAGAATTACTTGGAAAAAAATGGTTATCCAGATAAATTCATTGAGAAAAATATGAATTCAGTACCTAGGAGAGTCAGTATGGCAACAGTTTTTTTGAAAAAACCACTGTTCATAAAACTGCAGTTCCTCGATGACAACATCAGAGAAATAATAACACAGCGCCTGAAGAATGCAGTTAAAAGAGCTTTTTATGCAGCAGAGGTACGGTGTCTCTTCACAACCACTCCTATTCTACGTTCGAGAAATAAGTATAAACTACCTAAATTTGCTTCCTCTATATGTATCTACCAATTTGACTGTAGCTGCAGAGCCAGCTACGTCGGGCGTACAAATAGGCAGGTTCATCATCGTATTTCCGAACATAATAATGGAAGGTTTATTTATCGAATCAACTGTATATACGTTTAACACGAATGATTTAGCACCTGTCCACCCGGACGTCTGAAAAAAAATCCTACCCGCCTTACGACGAATGGTAAAGAATCAAAACAGAACTGTAGAACTCACATTTCGAAATTGTGTAGTTATAATTGAAGGTATGAGATTATGAACAATGAAAAATTGTGTTCGAAACTTCATCATTCAGTAAACAATACTGTTTCACTTACTTACTTTACTTTACTTCGGCTATCTCCTACGGGAGGATGAGCCGGCTTCATGAACATCTCGAATCATCGCTGCCCAGGCGCGGCGATCTGATGCAAGGTTTTGCGACAGGGTTATCCAATTCTTGTTCCACAAACGGAGTCCGTAGACGGTTTGTAGCCCCATGCACTCCATATCAGCCTTGACTGTACCAAGCCATGTAAGAGAGTTCATGAAGTTTCATGGGAATTTGGTTCGAGTGATGTCTCCAGAATCGCTCGGCCTTTTGTTTTAGAGTGCAGCTCTAGCCTTTACACAACCAAGTGTGACCTACAAGGCAGTAGGAGTGGAGTAGACAGTCCACTATCCATTGGCAGCCGGTGACCGGAGTTTGGTTCATACGCCTTTTTGAATGGGGCCAGACATCTAGGACATCCAACAAGCCCTTTGTCCATACGTCTGCCGGTGAGCTCCAGTAAGCTTCACACGCCAGTCGTTGGAGGTTTGGAATCAGGGTTTAGTCATCTCCCCTAGACTGTCATCCGATGGACAGTCAACCCGGTGAAGAGCGCCGGGCATCCGCTTTCGCCCTCTCACTTTGGTGAAAAACACCTCCGCCACGTGAAGGCAGTGAGTAGGACTTCCTGTGTGCGCGTATACTTGTGTGTGTTTTTTTTATTTTTATTTTTGATTATAGCTTGATTCCACACCGTATTTTCGGTACAGGTATGGAATTTTCAGCATGTGATATCGGTAGCCCAAATTTTGCAGGCCGACCATAGATATCAGGCGTGCGTCGGCAGGGAATCGAACCCCGGACCATGTGCATGGTCGGCGAGAGTCCTAATAACCACTGTGCCACCGACGCACCCATTAAACAATACACCCGAGTTTTACGCATACATATATTCTGTCAATTGTTTTACGCCACTAGGATATCCTGTCGTGCCGTTTGCTGTTTTATACTCTATTCGCAAAAACATCACTGCGATCCTCAATCCACACTAAATAAGCATGTAACGAGAAAGAAAGAAACGTGCACGTACACGTACATACACAACACTCATCACTTACCTGATAACGATTCGAATTACTCTGTTTTCGTCGTGGAGAACGTCCAGAAGGAGGTGGTGGTGGTGGCGGCGGTGGTGGAGGTGGTGGGGATGGAGATACAACAGCAGTATACCCACTAGTAACATTACCACTAACAGTATAACTCAGTATTATATTGTTGTTAGGATTAGTATGAGTATTGCTATCATTATTATTATTCATTATTGTTACTGGAGGTGATATCGGTATTGTTGATGAATGTGTGATAGTCTGTACTGAACTGTTTGGCATGATATTTGTACTCGCCTGACTAAAACAATCTGTAGATAGTCTTCTGTAAAAATTTGACCTAGGATAGTTATAATCAGCTGGTTTTGAAGAAAATGATGGTCTGGCAGGTGTTGGAGGTGGTGGTGGTGTTGCTTGTGGTTGTGGTTGTGAGGGTCCATTACGAATAGCCTTCATAGAAGTAGATAAATTATAGGCATACATATTGATTTCTTTTTTTATTATTTTAATTAGAAAACAACAGCAACAACAACAGCTAAGGACAAGCTGATTTTGATGATGATGACTGGAAAATTTGCATACATTAAAAACTGAAATCCATATTGCATAATTAAAAAAAACAACTACTGTGGGTAGAATTAGGCAAAGTGGCAAAGATATAAAGGCAGAAATAACACCTAGTGTGCAGTAAAACAGAGTTAGATGTGTAGTAGTGTATTTATATTCACTCAATAGTGTAGTGGGCAGGAAATATGCTAAGGAGACCACTGAATGACACCACGCCCCATGATATCTAGTGGGAGATGACCAGTTGCGTTTGGTTGCGAGGGTGACATGTAGGAGATTGTGTGAAAAACAGATGAGAGCTTATGAGGAGGGCGGTCGTGGAGCCAGCTATAAATAGGACTGCGGAGAATAGGGCAAAATGGAGTTGGAACTCAAGGAAATATTAATAGCTTTGTAGGCTTATTTGTGGTTCTAGCATGGGAACATGATGCAACTCAATTACTCCATACAAGTGCTTACGCAACAAGCAGGCTATGGACAACGCACTATATCTGGTCTTGTCTCTCAGGTTATTCAGGGTCATACAAGTGTAATGAGAGATTTATGCTGTGTATGCTTAAAATTTCGTGTTATGACATAATAATACGCCGTCTTGAACGGATATCGGATGTTGTACGTACATAAATGTTCACAGTATACACTTGATGTATTTATATTCACTCAACAGTGTGTCTGTATGGTATGTACTTTGCGCCGTCTAAGTGCAAAGTACTGTTACAAGATTGGCAGGAGCCTGTACTTGCACTCACTCACTCTTGCAGGTGAACCGCTTGAAGTTGTTGATAAGTTTGTGTATCTGGGTAGTTGTGTAAGTGCTGGCGGAGGGGTGATGGATGAGATTTCCAACCATATAATGAAGACTAGGGTGGCATGCATCAACTTGAGCCACCTCTGGCGCCGTCGCGACGTTATCCTGGCTGTCAAAGGTCGGGTATACAATACTTCGGTGCGGGCTGTGTTGCTCTACGCCTGTGAAACCTGGCCTCTCCAAGCTGGCGATGTGCGGCGACTCTGCGTGTTCGATAATCGCTGTCTCCGCAGGATCGCTTGCGTTCGATGGCATCATCGCGTGAGTAATTCTGAGGTTCGGCGGCGTGTGTTTGAACACAGTGGAGATCACCATTCATTGAGTATCGTCATCTGGCTCTGGTGGCTTGGACATGTGCTGCGAATGTCATCCCAGAGGCTTCCGTACATGTCTCTGTTCGCCAGCCTTGGGACGGGATGGAAAAGGCGGAGGGGTGGTCAGTCAATGACGTGAAGTCGTGGGATGAAGGAAGTTTGTGCTAGATTAGCATCAGTTGGTGCGTCACGACTACCTGGTCGGGGTCCGCCAGACAGCTCGAATCGATGGCTCGAAACGTTATCGGATATGGCCAAGAATCGTAATCAATAGAGAACGTGTTGCAATTTCCTTCTTTCTTCCCTTCCGGATGACAGTTAATGAATACTGTTTGAACTTGTTAAGTATGACCGTCTTCCTTCCAGATGAAGTTCTTTATCCATTCTCTACTTATATTTTTTACTTTTGATCTATGTTGTTTTATTATTATTGTGTGGCGCATCTTTCTTGGTACCATATTGTACCAAGTTTCTTCTGTGTTTAAATAAATAAAATAATAGTGTGTCGATGGTTTAGGAGGATGGGGGAGGCGGGTATAATTCTCCCTAACTACGCATCATATGGCTGAGGATCGATTCCCAGCCAATATATACCCTTAAACCTAACTCACAAAAGAGAGGAGGTTGGGGACTTGAGGCTAGACAATTCCACCCTTTAAACACAATAACTCCACTGCTAATGAAACTGTATATAAACCCCAAGTTTGAAGCCATATACTCCACAAAAAGCGTAGACAAACACAAAAAATTTGTATTCATTCAGGATAAAAAACTTAATTAGGCCTTTCAGATCAAAGTTAAGAAGTAATAATTCAAATTGGTCACCCTGGATGATGATAGACACTGGCATTAAAATCTACCAATCAAGTGTGTACTATGACTTTGATTGCATGGAGGATTTCATCATGGGCTGACATCAGTTAGAGAACCACTAGAAAACCTGGGAGTACTGGACAGCTGTTTCGTCCTAGTTTGGGACCCTTTATTAGTACGTACCCACCGCAGAGGTTCGAACCCAAGACCTTCTGGTTACAAGGACAGCGAGCCCGTAGACAATTGAGCCACTGAGACCAGATCCAATGATTCTTGAATTCTAACTTCTGCCAATTCACGACATAGGGTGACCATTTCGCAATGTCTTCTTCGATGAGTTACTGCTTAACCTTCGACCTGCTGTACCCTACTGGTCACGGCTTGGCACTAGAACCCCAGGTTAACTGCCTGAATAGGGCCAGTCACTAGTGAGCATCAGATTAATTTTCAAGTACTGGTTTTGTAGGGATTTTGTTTGATTGCATGGAGGATTTCATCATGAGTTGACATCAGTTAGAGAACCACTGGAAATATTATTTTATAATTTTTCATCTGTTAGTTGGGTGTTAGGAGTGTGCATAACCTAGTTCCACAAATCCCACCCTGACTTGATCGACTACTTTGAAAAGGTCTTCTACAGCGTTGACCATGGAATAATCCGGAAACTACTTCAACACTAACTATGGAGTGCTCCAAATCTTTATCAACCTCATTCAACAGAGATCTGACAATGCCATGCGCCACATAATCCACAACAGAAAACTCAACGAAACCTATGAAGTTAAGACAAGGGTTAGACAAGACTGCCTAGTATCATCGGTGATAATAGTAACTGTGGTTGACTGGGTTATGCGGAAAACTGTGGGAAGCCAGAAGACAGGAAGACGGGTTGGACCGACAAGAAGAGACTCTAGAAGATGTGGATGTCGCAGACAATTTATATCTCATTTCACATAAACTTGAAGACTTATAGGCGGAAACCAATAATTTAGCAGAAGAGGTAAGCAACAAAGACAGGAATTCAAATAAACATACAGAAGACGGAGGTGATGAGAATAACCAACGACAGCAGGTATCAGTCACTATCAACGGAATAAATTTCAAAGAGGTCACTCCTTTCACTTATCTAGGCAGTTTCGTTTCAACTACAGACAATCGACACGGATGTGGATGTCAAAAGCACAATCGGAAGAGCAACACACACAGACCTTCATCACTCTGAAATCAGTTTGGAAATCTCTTGCACTCCGTAAAAAGGAACAAACTTCGGATTTTTAACACCAATGTTAAGTTGGCCAGTTCTTCTATGTCAGTCAGAAACTTGGTGTGAGCCCCACAAACAAACAAACGTTTTCAACAGCCAGCTGCCTCCTTTTCTGGCTCCATACCGAAAATCAGGTGTCTAGCCAGACAGAATTAGCAACAAGAAACTCTGGGAACGAAGCGACCAAGAACCTATTGTCCAACCAACAAAATATTTCGAAGAAAGTGAAGAGATGGATTGGAAACACACTGAGGAGACCATTGGGTAACATCACGCGCCAAACAGACTCTCAAGTGGAACTTCAATAATAAGAAACGAAGCGCTGAGCGTCACCTCGAGGATGACACGGAAGAGACCGTGTGGTGGGGGAGGAGATGAGAGACTATGGACCATCTTGGGGCCAACTCAAGAGGACCATTGAGAATAGGACAAAATGGAGATGTGTTTTAGAAGACTTATGCTCCACTCGGAACCCAAAAGAACATTTGTTTCTAAGTCGGTTTTCGCTAACAGGTCTGCTCCTGGTGGGGATTCTTTGAGGATGTTTGAGGATTCACTTGAAGTAATACGATGTATAGTGACTAGCAGTAGAATCCAGTAGTATTTTAAAGGAAGAACCGTGAGGCCTCACCACTGAAAAAAGCTACAACACGCCCAGGTCCACCCCCAATTTGGGTCTGTCGTGAGTTTTAAACCACCTACCGCGAGGTGAATTAGTGAGCCTCCTCCAGGAGTCAGAGTATTCTTGATCACCCTGAACCCCGTTCCAGAGGTAAGCAATCCAGTGTTAGTCACCATGCACTAAATTACTTTAAGAGGAGAGATTGTTTTTTGCTTAGAAATCTTAAGCTTTCGATAATGAAGGACTTAATTCATCTGAACAGTTCTTACGTGTGGCTACATCACACTTGAAACAATTGTGTAGGGTCAGTTAATGTCGCTATCTTTCACTCTAATCTTCAATGAAGCACTTTAAAACATCTCATAAGGGAAATGAGTCCTCTCACGACTATTATTGTTATCTTGTTATTATTCTCTTGGATCCCAACTGGAACATAGGACTTCAACAGAACGTCTCCATTTTGTCTTGTTCTCCTTAGTCCTCTTCATCTGGCCTCAAGATTACCCATAAGCTTTTACCCCACCCCCTTCTCACACGATCTCTTCAACATCACCGTGGAAGCCATGCCCAACTTTTCATTTCCTATTCGGGTTTCACTCGAGGGTGTGTCTGGCGCGTGATGTCACCCGACGACAGTCTCTTCAATTACGTTTCCAACCCATCTCCATTGTCTTCAGAATATTTATTGAGCAATAGGTTGTTGATTGGTTCATTCATAGAATTCTTTGTTTCTACTTATTTCTGATGTTCAGTGCGGAGCCAGCGAAGGCAGATGTTGATGAAAGTCCCAAGACTATATATATACCTTACTGTCAAGCAGCAATAAGTGCCCAGTTGGAGAATGCACATGCCGAACGTGCAGTAAAAAGTGTAATTATGTGGACAGTTTTGAAATGACGACATGTGGACGAAACACCTCTGAGAGAGTTGCAACATTATAACCCACTGTTATTATATTTTTTATTTGCCCCCACGTTCTCAAGGAAATTATCCCAACCCCCCCCCCAACACACACATTTTTTCACACTTATCTCACGTTTTCATCCACCTTTTCCAAAGTTCTCAAAAAAGTTCTTAAAATATCCCATTTTATTTCATTCGCTTTACCTACCTCATTTTAACCATATTCATGAAAAAAGCCTATACTTGAGGCTTTCCAACCTTTAAACTGCCGAATGACAAGAGTCTGGTTGTGTGAAGGGGCACGAGTTCTCTTGACTCCTCATATACTCCATAGTGATGAATGTCAATGAGCATGAAACCTAAGACTAGGACTTCCTGCTGATTGCAACCAACCATCAACCTCAAAAGACTGGGATAATCTCGAATCGGCAGATCGATATCGATGCAACGGAAAGGGTTAAAACCAGAAGCCTCCACAGATTACTAACCCTATACTCTCCTGAATAAACTATGAGATCCAACAAATAATGAGGTCGTCAATTTATGGAAATCACGGAGGCTTAGACAGAATCCTAAACGCAATTAAGTGGTAGGTAACTGTAAGTCGTTGGTGAAATTACCTAATAACCTTTGATTGACAGATATGAAGTAATCACTTGCCACCCCCCCCCCCCTATTTAATTCAGTATGATTAGAATTTAGATAAATCTTAAAAGAAGCATACAGTGTGATGTTAGATAAAGATATACTTGCCGTTTACTACATGACCCTTCAACAAAGCCCTTGTTGATTAAGTTACTGTTGCTGTTTTCTCCTGTTTAGAATTCTTCTACAATACGCACCCAACACCACCCCGTCCCAACAGGGATCGAAACTATGACCTTCATGTTATAAGCAATCTTTGAATGTTTGGCGTGCTATTCGGTCCTGTGAAATGTAAAATGATGCTACATGACTGGACTACATAGACTCTTCGCTTAAGGACAGTGGATGAAGTGGTAAGGCATGTTGACAACTACACTTATTTCAGAAGCTGCATCTGTCTGAACGAGCTGATCGCTGACGAAATCTCAGCACAGATGCAAAAGGCTCGTGTGGCATCTACCGACCTGCATCAACACTGGTGTACACGGGGTACCAGACTATCGGTCAAAGAAAATGTTTGCTGTTCAGCAGTTCGCTTTTTTCTTTTTTATAGTTGTGAAATATGGTGACTGAGAGTAGAAGACATGAAATTTCTATGTGTCTGTGTTCTCTTTCCCATTTTAGGTGGTATAATGTGGTGAGTAATATTGATGCTAGGCGTTGAGTGCTAGGTAAGGAGGGAAAATCTATCGATGAGGTTGTCAAGCTATTATTATTATTGTATTATTGTTCCCTTGGGTTCCTAGTGGAAAATAGGGCTTCAACTGCACGTCTCCACTTGCTTCTGTCTTCTGCTGTACTTTTCACTTGCATCCATGTTAGTCCATACTGTTTCAGCTCCTCTTCACACGATCTCCTCCGTCACCCTTGGACGTCCCACTCGCCGCTTCCCTTTCGGGTTCCATTCGAGGGCCTGACGCACGATGTCACCCAGTGGCCTCCTCAGAGAGTGTCCAATCCATCTCCACTTTCTCCTGCATATTTGTTGACCGATTGGTTCTTGTTTTGTTTGTTCCCATAGTTTCCTGTTAGTGACTCTTTCCGGCCATCTGATCTTCAGCATAGAACGAAGACAGCTGTTGATAAAGGTCTGCAACCTGTTGGAAATATTCTTTGTTAAGCTATACTTTTATTTTGTTTTTTTTATTATAGCTTGAAACCACACAGTATTTTTGGTACAAGTATGGAATTTTCAGCATGATATCGGTAGCCCAAATTTTACAGGCCGACCAATGATATCAGGTGTGCGTCGGCAGGGGACCATGTGCATGGTCAGCGACAGTCTTAACCGCTGTGCCACCAACGATTGAGATGGTTTGGACACGTGTTATATATGCCGAGCGAACACATTCCTCAATGATTAGTGTTAGCTGACATAGAATCACGCTGGAAAAGAACTAGTAGCGGTCAAACCAAAACACGGAATCACTACATGAATTCTTTAACAGATAGTCTGAGCCACACGGAGAGGTGCAGACTGCCAGTCTGCTTAGGATCCTCAGGATACTAAGAGCGAATGTATGAAGACAATCGGTGATATGAGTCAAAACCATTATTAAATGGGACAGATGCATCCACTCTCTCTCTCTATGTGATCTATCATATCCATTGAAACCGTATTGCCTTTCCATATTACTATTTGTTTCTCCCTCACACAATTTTGCTTATTGTCATTCTTTTAAATCTCTTCGTTGACTAAATGGAGCGTGGCAATTCGAAATTGCTGTACTTCTGTGCAAAGTTCTATGTTGAAATCAGTCAGTCAGCCAGTCGATGGCTTCAATTACTTCATTCTTTTTAATCTCGGACTATACAAAAGCCTAAACAACGAACCATAAAAAAACTAGTCTACAATGTACAGATATCGTAAACAAAATGAAACTTTCTTATACTGTTTCAATTGAAGTGAAGTACTTTGTATATTCATCTCGAAGGAGAATTTTATCTGCACTCAGTTTAACATTAATAAAGATATTTAATGTTCAAGAACAGTTTGTAAGCAGGAACAGTTAACTCTGATATGATATTATTTCCATACTTGAGAATAGATGATACACTCTCAAGAAGTAGTCTCATATAAAGCGTCAGTGGTACGGCTAACCACCACCACCCGTGTGGTCTGGGGTTCGACCCCTGTCCAGTGGAATCCTAGACCTCACTTAGCTAGTGGTAAGTCCGTCACACAAGGAAGGTTGGGTCAAACTATTGCTACCGAAATTTCCAAGCTAAAGCTTGAAACCCTATGCTCCACGCGGAACTCAAAGGAATACAATAAAATACATAAATAAAGTCTCATGTGTCAGTGTGGTTCAATGGTAGAATACTGGCTAACCACATACACACGCACACACGTGGTCTGGGGTTCAATATTCCAGCAAATGCACTCCTAAATCTCGCCTAGTGGAATAGCCTGGAAAAGTGGGCAGGTCGGACGTGAAGCCAGCATCCTAATCGCTTAAAAAGACAACACTGACACTGAAACTCTAAAGCATGAAGCTCTATGCTCTACTCGGTACATAAAGGAATGAAGACAGCTGAAGAAGTACGTTACAACTTCTTAATGAAGGTATGACTGAGTTCAACATAGAGATAGATTTATCATTATTATTGTTTCCTTTGGTTCCTAGAGGAATATAGGGCTTCAGCCATGCGTCTCCATTGCGTTCGGTTCTCTGCTAGAGTCTTCACCTGCCTCCACGTCTGCCCACACGTTTTCATCTCCTCTTCACATGACCTCCTCCAAGTCATCCTTGGACGACCGACTCGCCGCTTCCCTTTCGGCTTGCATTCGAGGGCTTGTCTAGTGATGTCACTGATAGCCACGTGCTCGGTGTGCATGTGGGTATCTTCTGGGTGACCGGAGTAGATCATTGACTCACCCGTTGACAATTTGGTGAGTCCATTCCCGTTCCATCTGCTTTCACATATCCCCAGTAATTGAATTCTGTTGCGATCTGGGCAGCTTTGCCAATCTCGTACATGGTGGGGACATTCCATATCCCCACACAGACTTTTTCTTTTGGCACAAGGAGATTCATCGTGTTGCAGTTTCTGTAGCAACTTTGTTTACATGGTGGGATCGCTAGCCTCACGCTTGAGAAGGGGATTGTTACATTAAATTATAGTTTAGAGATAAGCGACCTTAAAACCAGGAAAGCAAGGAATAAAACAATCAGAACAACACCAGCAGAGGAAAATAATTCACAACACACATAGAGATAGGACACTTATAGAATTACTAACAAATATCAACATTACACTCCAGCGTAAAAATCATCAAATATCTTGTCCCGTGAGAATTCCTGGGACTCAATGATTTCAAGTTTAAGATCATTTTTTTAAGTAAACAGCAAAATAAGCGGACTGGAATGATATTACGTTGATATGAAGATGAAACATTACAGGGAACTGATAACTTTAGAAGTGCATCGGTGGCATAGCGGTTAGGGCACTTGCCGACCATGAACATGGTCCGAGGTTCGATCACCGGCCGACGCACTCCTTTACCTCGCTAAGCCAGAAATAATGCCGGTGAAGGGGAAAGGTTGAGCATGAGGCTAGCAACCCCATCCTGTAAAATAAGGACTGCTACAGAAACTTCAAGCCACTAGCTTGAAGCCCTATGTTCCACTGGGGAACGTGAAGGAAAAAAATAACTTTGAAAAGTATATTCCAAGTTCCCGATAAATCTAATGCGAATGTTAGAATAATCACAATAATGAACAGAACAAAAGTACTAGTTTTAAAAAAATGCAAATCGACAATCATTTACTAGTTAAGAAGACCCACAGTTAGTTGTATTTACCAAGTGCTAGTTAGGCGTACTACTAAAATGTGCAGTAAAACTACTAAATACGTGAGCCTTATATAAAACAATGTTAAGTATGCACATTGCCAAGGTAAATCACCACAGTTACTAATTTTACTCACTAAGTAAAACGTATAAGAAAAAGAAAAAGTTTGCTTACTGAAATCCCATTGGACACTGGATTAGGACGTTGATACATTGTATAAGGTGTTGTTGACGGTATATCTGAAGAAATTGTGTTCGGAAATACAAATGATGCTGGAGGCGGAGATGGTGGTGGGGAAGACTGTGGTAGTGGAGGTGCGGGTGGTGGTGGCGGTGGTGCAGGATTTTTTGCATATCCACCTACAGGTTGTCTTGTCACTGAATTCTGAACTGTATTACGTGAAACATCTACAGAGCCAACTGGTCTTAATTTCGGTGCTCCATTTGCAAAAGGATTTGGAAGACCCATTGGTGGACAAACTCCACCGGAAATAGACGACGCTGTACCTGAACCACTTCCTGCATCGTTACGATCTTGAATAGAATTCATAAATTAGACATATCACTACGATATTTAAAGGTATAAGCATAAAAATATTTTATAAATCACAAACTGAAGCGATCTAAATTCCAAGGACAATTTTTTAGTTATGGTGCTAGACGTCTATACAAGAGTCCTATACCCTACACCACGACTCATTCAGATTATCGGTGTTTAAAGTTGTTCTGTTAATACAGTCAATAAATTCAAATATAAAACAATCGATAATTTCATTGAAATATCAAAGGAACCTTTTGAAGACAAAATCCCTTACTGAAACGGCTCAATTCTAAAAGCTGTACAAATTTCATTATGGGTAAATTTTATTTTGATAAAGTCTCACAGTGTTATACAGTAATATTTACTGATGACGTTTCGAGCACAATTTATTGCTCATAATCATATCAAGGTAATCACACGACGTGTGTATAACACTGTGAGACTTTACCCATAGAATTTACCCATAGTGGAATTACATTCTACCACAGTGCCCAAGTTTTATTCTGTACAAATTTATTTATGCTTAGCTTACAAGTATTGACAAACTATCTAATTTGTACTACGACGGAATTTCGACAATGAGTGAATATTTTTTTATTCCTTCACGTTCCCAGTGGAACATAGGGCTTCAAGCTAGAGGCTTGAAGTTTCTGTAGCAGTGTTTATTTTTACAGGGTGGGATTGCTAGCCTCATGCCCAACCTTTCCTCTTTACCAGTCTTATTACTGGTTTAATGAGGTAGAGGAGTGCGTCCGCGGGGGATCGAACCCCTGACCACATGCGTGGTCGGCGAGCATTCTACCACTGTGCCACTGACGCAATGAAAATGTTAAAATGAAATAATACTACACGAATAACCAAGCCAACTAGAAAAGAGTTGCGGCTAAAACCGACCTAGGTTATGTAAAAGAGTATATGAATATAACTAGATTTAATCCACTGTGTAAGGAAACCAGCCTAACTAATACAATATTTCAGATACTACAGTTCATAGTCCTACTCGATAAATAAAATGAATAAAGTCAAGTACCTTTTAGACATAGACGAGAATTCATCGATTAGAGATCTTTGAATTACAATAAATTCCGGAATATAATTACTTGTCACATTTCTTGGCCTGAAAGCTACATTCGTTTTCATCAACAAACATGTTGTGGCAATTTTTGATTATGAAGTATCAGGAAATTTCGTGATATCTATCAACGCAGTCTATATGAACTTATGCAGCCATGTAAGAGCTTACAGAGAGTTGTCGTTTGAAGTGACAAAAATCAGTAGTGTGCATTAGGAACACTCCTTGTCACCGTTCCTGTTCAATTACGCTGTAGATGTGTTGATAGGGTTTAGTCCAAACGACTATGGAGTGTCAAGTACTGACTTCATAGTACGAACCAATGACTATTGGTTTGAGCTACGTAGGCAAGTAAAGACTGCCTAAGAATCCATGAGATGTGCTTACTCTTTGTCATCACCCAGATTCTGAAAATTGCTCCCGTGGATCTTTGTTAGCTAAGCTTTTACTAGATTTCTTTCCTCTACTTTTGTTTTCTATAGAAGTGTGTAGGCGCGCCTTTTGTTTAAAAGTTCCACATAAACTGGATGATGGTAAAATGAGTGAAAAATAAGTGTGAGACAATAATTAAAGGGAAAACAGTGAATTTCTTCAATGTGATAATGAATAGTGAATACGTCTACGTCATTGTGAACGACTTAGAGCCACAATAACGACAGTAACCCACCACTTATTCTTAGATACACGAGGAATCAAACTATATCTCCCTAGGAACTGTACTTTATTCTGAACACCCAGGTCACAAAACCTGATGAGACGTTCACGACTAAATATCACAGCTCGAAGAATGCCATGTCACAATCACTGTTCTGTAATCTCATACAAAGATTTAGTTATAAATTTTAAATCACTGGCAGTAACCTGCTGTCTTCTGGAACTGTTAGTCGTCTAAGATTTACTGGTGACATCCCACGTTTCATTAGTTCTTCATTTGCGACATCGTTACACTTCTTTGCATTTGTGGTTCGTTTCTGTTCTAATGTGGTGATTATTTTGAACAAATATAATGTTGTGCGTACTCGAATTCTGGAAAAACAGTTCTGATCTTATATCATCGCCAGCGGTAATGTATTAACAGTCTCAAAGGGATGTGAATTTATGTTACTTTAAAATCCCCATGGAGTCACATAAAAGAAAAAACGTTCCGTGAAGATATCATTCTCAAGCTGTACAGTCGCATATATGTAGTAGATTACCTTGGTAACTAAAGGAATATTCCCAAGTTTACAACTGATACATTTTTGGAAATATTTCTTTTGTTTCTAAGAAAATTTACTATATGTATGTGACTGCAAAGCTTAAGAATGATATCGTTGAAAAGAGTGACACTTCATTCAAATTCTTTTCTTCTAAGCTACTCTGTTGATATTTAAGTATTATAGCATAAGTGTACTATCTGACTGACTGGCTGAGTAACGACATAGAATAAATACGTTTAAAAAGCACTACACTTAATAATCTGAAATTTAGATTGTTTCTGTTTTGGTTAACACTGTATTACTAGCACTTAAGTGTAGTAACTGTGTAGAAAACTTCCAAACATACTGCATAAAGTCACAGAACCAACTTTTCTTATCTGGTTTACGAAACCTGCAAAAATTCAAATGAATTAGGCTCCTTGTTAAACCTTAAAGCCAAATATGAGTGAAGACACCAGAACACAACTCCTAAATTGCCAGACATTTCCACATAATCTAAGGATTTAAATAGAATATACGCCGATGCTTCATGTACAGTGTGCATAAAGTCGTTAGAAACATTCAACAGTGCTAACTAAATTTGAGAAGGAATTTAGATGTGAATACACTAACTAGTTAAAAGCTGGCTTATCAAATTAAAACGGCTAGTAGCGCTGAGCCAGAGTAAAACCACATTTCGACCAGCTTCAACAAGAAGTCAACATCAAAAAACTGAGAGCCTTAAAACAATCTATAGCATCGCCTAATTTGTCTGTTATGTGAGAATGCTACTTTATACCTTAAGATAGGATAAATAATAAATAGCCTCGTGTGGGAAGATCATTATAACACTGATTACCTGTACATTTAGATGCCAATGGTGCACTTCTATCCCTTTTTTCAGAATCCGGAACCTTCCTTAGGGCTTTTCCAGCTTTAATATCTGCCAAAAATGCTGGGCCAGAAGACTCAGAAATCTGTTTGGGAGGTGGCCTTGTGAACTTGAGTTGCGGCGGAGGTGGAGGAGGAGGAACAGACATTACATTGATCCAAAAATGCAGCGAACGTAAACTGGCAATGGAACTAGACTCAAGGTCAGTTTCCTGGAAAGCCCGCGTGTGTCCAACATCCAATGATCCTTTTCAGCCTAGGCTAAAATGAAACCTTTGCTCTCATTTCATGATAGCGGATGGATAGTCGCTGGTTCTCAGCTACTCTATCAGATTATCAAGGAGGTGAGGCAACTTGCACTGCACTCTCAGACTGAGCAGTCACACACAATGCTTAAGTGCGTGGTGATAAAACAATTGCGTTTAGAAACCAGTATATTCAACGGTCGCTTCAGAGAGAGAACATGGGAGATAGACAGCTATCACACTTCTTGCACCACTTTCAGACGCTTGTAGGGAACAGGGTGGTGGCAGAACCCCTCCCGGATTATGTGCAGTAGGCACTGATTCAGATATATTGGTTGAGGATAGAAGGCTTGGAGCCTATGTTAATCCTTTTCTAGTAAATTTCTGTGGTTGTCCAAACCCTTCTTTAACAAATCAGTTGAGGTAGCAGACACCAGTTCCTCTCGGAGTCGGTTCCAAAAGTTTATGACTTGGTGTGAGAACCAGTACTCAACAGCAATATGATTTCTTCTTGGCTTTTGAACTCTCCTGCTTTGTCCTCTAGAGTGTTTCGACCTGGTGGGAAGGAAAAAAGAGAATTCGTTAGGTCCAAAGTCATTATTTAAAATTTTAAGCATTGTGATTAAATCTGCTCTCCGCCTACGGTATGACAGGGAGAAGAGATATAAACTGTCGAGTCTTTCTTCGTATGATAAGCTGGTCATGCCGAGAACCACACGTGTTACCTTCCTTTGAACCCTTTCTAGAGTGTGTGAGTCCCCTTTTAGACAAGGACTGGAGACCTGGATGCAGTTTTCCAATCTTGACTTCACCAGAGATGTATATAAGGAGGAGAACATATCTCTGGTGATTCCAGTAAAGGCTCTGCGAATTGCCCATAATGTTCTGAAACTACGTGCGGCCACCGCGCCACAGTGTGCTGTAGTTTTTAAGTCGTGGCCAACTGTGTCACCTAAGTCCAAGCGAGTCTAAACTGATGGAAGTGTAATTCCCTCTAGTTTTTAGGAGCTCGTGCTTGCTTGTCCAATGCACAGAGTTGCACATTCTGCCACACTGATCAGGAGCATCCATTATATGGACCACTCCGACAAATTGTTGAGGCCCTCTTGCAACGTGGATGTATCACTGTTGGCCTTCAGCTCCCTCCAAATTTTTAAGTCATCTGCGTGTGGGACAATAGGAGAGTTGGTGAGCAGAAATAACTCATTGATATACAAAATAAATAGAAGAGGTCCGAGTACCGTGCCTTGTGGCACTCCGCTACGCACTGCTGTCCAAGAGGAGAGTTTTGAGTTGATCCTAATCCTCTGCCTCCTATCTATGAGGAATTCCCTGAGCCAGTTTAGCAACCTGCCTTTGATACCAAGACTTTCCAACTTCATAAGTAGTCTTTTGTTAGGTACTTCATCAAAGGCTTTGTTGAAATATATGAAGACGACGTCAACGGGTCTCCTATTGTCCCTTGATTTGACCCAGCTTTCTCTTGCAGTGAGGAGATTTGACCGGCATGAGAGGTTTTTTCGGAAGCTGTGCTCTGGATAACAAGCTGCTGTTTTCCAGATATGCCATAATGCTTTTCTTGATGATTCTTTCCAGTGTCTTGATTAAAGAGCTGGTGAGACCGGTAGGTCTGTAATTTGAAGGGCTTTGTCTTGATCCTCCTCTGTAGAGGGGGGTTACTATGGCGTCTTTCCAGTCACGCGTTAACCTCGCATTCAGGAGAGATAGCTTGAAGATCGTAGTCAAAGAGCCGGTTATGTGAGCTGATAGCTCCTGGACGCTCAAGATCCCGGCTTCCCCTTAGACAGTTAACACTCATCGTATTAATAATTTATATTCCGTATAAACGGATAAGTTTACAGGAAATGCATGCCACTTTTACAGGCACGACCAGTAATGTTATAAATTACAATCCTGAAGTATCATAAATTGATACTTTATCGAAAGTTTAAATTGTTGAATTATCGTACAAGCAATCAGAACAGATTTTTATAAATGTTAAATTGTAAGCCTTTTACTAAGGTCACCATCAAAGTTGAGTGACAACCCAAACTTCGTTCCGTTTCCTGGTCAACCAGTGAACAGCGTATATCTGGGTGAGTGCTACGCCCCCGCATGATTGAACGCTGTTTCAGGAAGAGAAGAACGTCCTGGAAAGCGGCAAAATTGTATAAAATGCGATTATGGATAATACGTTATTGGAAGTATATTTACAAGATAAATTCAAGAAGAAGCTATATAGTACTTGAAATGATATTACACATTTGCAATGTATGGTGCTAACCATATTGGTCTTACCACAGAAAACTATGACGTTTTCCATGAAAATATGGTTATTCTCAAACATGGGTGTTATTGTTATGTTTTTTCCTTCATCAGAGCAACCAAACTTTATGCGAGCGAAGAGTGTGATTGAAAGGAGTAGATTTTAGCTTTATTAAAGACCTAGGGAGTTCAGATAAAATAGAGTATAATAGTAATTAGATAGAAAGATTGTCGTGAAGTATATAAGTGACATTTCAGAGAGAAGTGGCTTGAAGGATTAGAACCTGTTGGATATGCTAACCTGTAAAATTTCTGTATGGTCCAGGGGGTAGCATCTTGACAAAAAGCTGAGCAGGCCTGTAGGTGCTAAGAGCAAAAGCATTTTTTATAATTTAGAACTGTGCAGTCATTATTATTTTAGTGTTTTTTAAATTTTTTTGAAGTTAGTTTGTTTTTTCATACTGAGGATCTTAAGTCATGTTTAATTCCCGAGCTGTCAAAAAATGTGAGTTGCTGTCCTACAGATAGGATCGATCCACATTTGTGACCACTACCAAATCTGTTGATCAGCGCGCGCCACCCTCCCTCCTTTTTGACATTAAGCTCTGAGACCTTTCGGAATGGCTGCAGTTGTAATATTGCATTGCTTTGACCCCATCCCAATCATACAGTATTCTGCACATTAACAGCTTTCATGACAAGTGCTTCTCACAAAAATAGTACAGTGTATTTTACTGATAATATAGGTATATATGTAAAATATTAAGAGGTACGGTTGCCAATATAATTGTGTTTGGAGATAATTATACTTACCCAACTTATTGAAGATTACACGGAAGAGAAAATCCGTGAGTTGGATAAACGGTTGCTGCACAGGTAGCAGTTAAAGCGTCTTAAAAAGTAAAAGATATACGAGTTTTGAGTACTGGAGCAAATTAAGTCATAATCTACTGAGTAGAGTGAAATGAATAGTGGTACGAATAGGGATAAGGGTAGGTTGAGTGAAGTTGAGGAAAATAGTTGGTTGGCTGGGCTTATTATTGCTAAGTTTTCATGACCACTCTTCATATGGCATGCTTTAAACATTACAAAGTGCCCGTTAGCTTATATTGTGGAAAAACTATTACAACTAATTTGGGATTATACGTCCAGGATGATTATAGATAGTCTTACGACTTTATAAACCCGACTGATGAAATATTGATAGGATTTCTAATAAGCCTAATAACCGAACCTTAGGTCAAGCCATATGGGAAACATTGGGTTGGTTTTATCAGGTTTTAGATGTGGTATGGTGGCTGGGTCAAATGAATTTCCTCAAATTGTCGGTATTGCACTGAGGTCTCTAGCACTGAAGTTAGTTGAACAGCCTATATGGGTAAAGTATGGATAAGTAGACCAAAGCACTTTTGTTGACAGGAGCTCATTAAGGAGACTCTGGAAACCAGTAGGAGATCGGCAACTATGTACAGTAAGTGGAAGTTCGTTCTATAATGCACTGTACTGTATTTTGAAGAAACATGAATGCAATTTTGTCCGATACCGGGTTATGGATAGAGTATTTTCATGATTCCTAAGAGAATATATGGTTGTATTATTGAAAGCTATTGGATTACTGCTTTTGATATAGCCGTGTAAAAGGCGAAAGAGGAATGTAAGGTTGAGTTTCAGGTGCCTTAACCAAAGTGGCTGAAGTCCATATTTTTTGCACCTATCCGCGTAAGTCAGTCTTTCATGTTTGTGTAATAGGCGTCGTGCAAAGCTTCGCTGAATATTTTCAATACGAGCCCCATCATACCCATGCACAAAACCGAAGACGATTGTGCAGTGTACAAGTACTGTACGAACCACGACTTTGTATAAAAGGACTTTAGCCTCAGTTGCGTACATTTTTCGGGGTAACAAACCTGTGAGTTTTCGGCATTTAGAAACAAGTGCTTTTGCGTACTGACTGAATGTTAAGTTTTGCGAGTAGGTAAATCCTAGGTTTTTGATGGAAATGATGGTTTGAAGAAAAGTCACCTAGGTGTAACCTGAAATTTTGATGTGAGTTATTGAAGTATAGGACTCCACAATTACCAGAATTGACTGGCATTTGCCAGTCACTGCTCCAGTTGTGTAACCTATCTAGATCATCTTGAATATGTATGAATCCCTCTTTCAGAGTAGAATAGGGGAAGCTGTGTACAATCTTTAAGTCGTCGGCTTGATTACACCGCAGATGTCGTTAATGTAAATTACGAAAAGCAGTGGACCTAGTACAATTCGCTGAATCACTCCACTTCGTATGGGTTTAGGTGACGAGTAATTATTTGCAAATTTCACAACTTGGGAAAGGTCTTCCAAGAAAGAACTGAGCCAGGATAACAAGCGGTCCTGGAACCCGGACGACTTTGGCTTAAGGATTAGTCTCTTGTGTTGGACTTCACCAAAGGCCTTTATGAAGTCAAAGAGGAGAGCTGTGACAAGCAAACCATGATCACGCTTAGCAGTAACATCATCAAAGTAGTCAAGTAGGTAAGTGGAGCATGATCGCCTTTTCAAGAAGCCGTGTTGTGCTGGAAGGAACACTTTGTGGAGGTGGAGGTATGAAAGAATATCCTGCCCTTTGACTTTTCCCATAACCGTGAAAACTACCAACGTGTTACTGATGGGTCTGTAGTTTTCGATAGTAGAAGTTGGTCCTAGTTTGTGCCTGGGGGTTATAAAAGACAGCTTCCAGCGCTGTGGGCAA